ACGACTGCAACCATCACCGCAACCATCACCGCAACCATGGCCTCGGCATACTCGAACCTGCCCATGGACGGCGACGACGAATTCGACGAGAGCCAGATCGACTTTACCGACATCGAAGATCAGTTCCAGGTGCGGCTCGACGAGGGGCTCGACGCCTTTGTCGTCATCGACGGGCTGCCCGTGGTGCCCGAGGACAGCAAGGCCAAGCTCGTCAAGTTTGTGCTGAGGAAGCTCAACAGCGTGGGCAAGGTCAAGGACGACGGCGTGCACATGCCCGTCGGCGAGGCGGGCAAGACGGAGGGATATGCCTTTGTCGAATACAGCGCGCCCGCCGAGGCCGTCGCGGCGGTCAAGCAGCTCAACGGGACTGCCCTCGACAAGAGGCACACCATGGCCGTCAACAAGCTCACCGACATCGACCGCTACGGCAAGGAGGGCCGCATCGACGACGAGTACCACGCCCCCGAGATCCCGCCCTTTGAGCACAAGGAGCACCTGCGCTGGTGGCTCGGCGACCCCGACAGCCGCGATCAAATGGCCATGTACCGCCAGGAGAAGGTCGGCGTCTTCTGGAACGACAAGGAGGACCAGCCCGAGCAGGTGGTCGACCGCGAGAACTGGACCGAGTCCTTCATCCAGTGGTCGCCCCAGGGAACCTACCTCACCTCCATGCACGCCCAAGGTGTCCAGCTGTGGGGCGGCAAGGCCTGGAGCCGCCAGAAGCGCTTCGCCCATCCCGGCGTCAACCTCGTCGACTTCTCCCCCAGCGAAAAGTACCTCACCACCTGGTCCCACCGCCCCCTCCAGGTCGACGAGAACCACCCCGTCCCATCGCTCTCGCTCGAGGAGGACGGCAAGAACTACATCATCTGGGACATTGCCACGGGCAAGCCTCTGCGCTCCTTTGCTACCATTGACGTCCCTGGCGGCATCGATGCCGAGGGCAACCCGGTCAAGAAGAAGCTGCAATGGCCGACGTTCAAGTGGTCCTCTGACGACAAGTATGTTGCACGCATGACCCAGGGCCAGTCCATCTCCATCTACGAGCTGCCGCGCATGAACTTGCTCGACAAGACTTCCGTCAAGATCGAGGGCGTCATGGACTTTGAGTGGGCCCCCGCAACGCCCCGCAGAGAAGGCATCAAGACGTACGAGCAGCTCTTCTGCTACTGGACCCCCGAGCTCGGGAGCAACCCCGCCAAGGTCGGCCTCATGTCCGTCCCGTCGAAGGAGATTGTGCGCACCCGAAACCTCTTCAACGTGTCAGACGCCAAGCTTCACTGGCAGTCGGAAGCTGCCTACGTCTGCGTCAAGGTCGACCGCCACTCCAAGTCCAAAAAGTCTCTCGCCACCAACTTGGAAATCTTCCGTGTCCGCGAAAAGGGTGTGCCTGTTGAGGTCGTTGACTCCATCAAGGACACTGTCATCAATTTCGCCTGGGAGCCCAAGGGCAACCGCTTCGTGCTCATTACCACTGGCGAAGTCATCCAGGGCGCCGCTGTTGGCCCCAAGACTGCCGTCTCTTTCTTCGCTCCCGAGAAGCTCAAGGGTGGCGCGCCTGGCAACTTCCGTCACATCCGAACCATTGACAAGAAGAACAGCAATGCCATCTACTGGTCGCCCAAGGGACGATTCGTCGTTGTCGCTGCTCTGCAGTCGCAGCAGTCATTCGAACTCGAATTCTGGGACATGAGCTTCGACAGGCCAAAGGAGGAGTCCGAAAAGGGCGACAAGGAAGTCAATGCCAACTTGCAGCTTATGGATACGGCCGAGCACTACGGCGTCACCGACATTGAATGGGACCCGACTGGCCGCTATGTCGCCACAGTCGCTAGTGCCTTCCGTCATCGCGTATGTATCATCATCACCATTATGCTCTTTTGTCTCTGCTGACACGCACTAGATGGAGAACGGTTACCACCTCTACGACTTCAAAGGCACGCTGCTCCGCGAAGAGGCCATCGAAGGCTTCAAGCAGCTCCTGTGGCGCCCACGGCCCCCGACCCTCCTCTCCAAGGAGGAACAAGCCGAGATCCGCAAGAATCTGCGCAACTACTCCAAGGTCTTTGATGAACAAGATATTGCGAAGAAGAGCTCCGCCAACAAGGCTGTGGTGGAAGCTCGCCGCGAGATGCTGGATGAGTGGCGCAGGTGGCGCGAAGAAGTTACACAGAGGCTACGCGATGAGGGCGCCGACCTTGAGCTGGCATCTCTCAAAGGTGAGACGCCTGGTCAAGCGGATGATGGACATCAGGAAGAGATTGAGGAAATCGTAGAGGAGATTATCGACGAGACCGAAGAGGTTGTCAATTAGGTGGTCAAATGAGTAGAACCGAGTTGTGTGACAGCAGTTTCAACCAGCATGCTAGGAGCACATTGCTCCGGGCATATGAGATAACGAGGTTACTAAGCTCACGTCCACTCACACCCGCCTTCTCCAATGTGTCCCTTGAATGGCGTTGCCGGCTTGTTTTTCGAAGATCGATCATGGTGGAATCAGGACTTACTTGCGTTCTACTTCGAGTGCGTGTGATAGTGTAACAATGTGCACACGAAGCTTCAACGCAATGTCAGCAGGAGCTGCAACTTGAAGCAAGGCCTAAGCCGTCGTTTGAGCGTCTGAGCCAGCCTTTGTCTCGCTGATGGTCCGCAGCTCGGGCGTCGCTCTTTGCTTTGATGCTATCTGACAGCTTCCCGGCCTTACCTTTACGAGACAACGTAATGGTAATCTGCACATAGGCGAGGCAATTAACGACCAAGCGATGTCCTTCAATTGAGGCTTGTATTGATATGAACTTGGGCTGTATTAAGGGTGCTAACGTGAAGGAGTGGGGACCTGCCTTCTGTTAGACATTAGTAATATGTGAGAGAGCGTTGCTGCGATAACATAGGATCTAAGTGACCGCTATATAGACTTAATTTTACAAGCTTGTACACCTTATATAGACGTGCTATAATAATTATAAAAGTTACAAGTATGTTACAGTCTAGCGATTAACCTATGCAATGTACCTAAACTTACTCTAGTCTACGGTAACCTAGCTTATGTTCTCTTCCGCTCTTCTAATTTCGCTCTATAATCCTACTCGTGTTAGTACACCCTAAATCTCGCTCACCCTTTAGTCTCTGTGTGCTTACCTGACAGCTAATCCTTAAGCCCTCTTCTAAGCCGACTCGAGGCTTATATCCTAGCAGTAACCTCGCCTTCGAAATACTAACATAGCGGTCCCGACATCCGTCACTCACAATGCCCCGACTAAGCACACCCTCCGTCCCTGTCACCCAGCTAATCCATTCGGCACAATAGCCCAAACACCATGTCAATCCTTCTGGAACCCGGACGTGGAACTTTGGAACATGGCCGAACTCCTTCCACACAGCTATGCAAAGGTCCCTCGCTGTGACCGGCTCGCCGTTGGTAATGAAGATGGCCTCTCCAGCAGCTGTTTGCGAATTTAACAAGTTTCCAACGGCGAGGACATGGGCGTCTGCTATGTTTTCTACGTAGACGAAGTCCTGGAGATTGGTCCCTGTGCCTAGAATAAAGGGTGTCTGGCCGGCTGGGATGCATGAGTGTATCATAGGGATGCACACAGTGTCGTTGCGACCGAAGATGGGTGCTGAGCGCAGGGCACAGGTGGCGAAGTCATTCGTATTTGCGGAGAGCACAAGGGATTCAGCGAGTGCCTGCTATGCATGAGTTGGTTATACAGTACGGAGGTGAAGTGTGCGGTGTCGTGGCTAGAGCAGTACAGGGAGGTTTCATACAAATTGGAGGAAGAGCAACGGTGAATCGGCAGTATTCTCTGCACATAGGAAAGAGAACATGAATAGAGTAAAACTTTGTTACCTTGCTTTGTCCATAGCTCGTATGTACACCTCCCGTGGGCCAATACTCATCTACATTCCTGAAGTCGCGATCCAACTCGTCCAACACGACAGTCACGCTACTGGTATACACAAAGGCTTTTGTACCGCACTCCCTACTTGCTTCGACAACATTCCTTGTTCCCTCGACGTTTGTCCTGAAGATGGCCCCTTTGCCCTTCATGGAATAGCGCTTCGTCCCCAGAGGGAACACACCCACTGTGTGAATGACGACGGCAGGTCGAGCTTCGGAAAAGACGCTGTACAAGGAAGATGGGTCCAGAATGTCGCAACGAACATAGCGTACAGTGTTGGTAAAGGTGGTGCTACCGAGCGAAGGCGGGTTAACGTCTATGACGGTGATGGCGTATCTTCGGGTGCTCAAGAGTGCGGAGACGACGGCGGTGCCCAGGAAGCCACAGCCACCCGTTACCAGAACGCGTGTTGGCTCCATTACAGCGCATGGAAATTATCGCGGATGTTATTGCATAGAACTTGGTATGTTGTGGTTGCGCGCCGTAGTCGTTGGCGGTCGACGTCGCGGTGGACCTCGGGAAGAGCAGGATACATGATAGAAGCGGGTCGTGTCCGAGAATCGCCGCGCTTTCCCGCTTCGCATCAAACGCTTGTAATGCCAAACGTGCATTATCGTTGCATAGCAAATATACACGTCTGGTATATTATAATTAATTGTACGTCATGCCGGGCAATTTTTAAGCGATGCGAAAGTCTGCAGTTTGTCGCTGGTGTTACACTGCCGCCAAATCAACTTTCCTATAACGTGGACTGAGCAGACAGAGGTTGATAACAGCTATACCAAGCGCAACTCTACGTCCATTTTACGCAGGTGTGCATTTGTTGTAGTGCAAGAATTATAGTTAGTTGGCTTTTACAGCTTTGAATACCGCCTGTGCAATCTCTGATTGATTTGCGATGCAGGAACAACATCGATCACCAAAGAAAAATATTGCTTGATTGCCGGCGCCATGAGAGTCAACGAAAGCGAAGGCATGTAGTGAAAAGATCTGAACCTATGCTACGAGGCTAATTTTATCCAGCCATCTTGACACCTCGTCTGATCCTTGTGCCTTATAGCTTGCACCATGTCCCCACATACCACGAATGGATGCAAGATGAGGTAAGGCCTACCCAGCCTCCTACCTCTCCCAATATATGGCTAATTAATGTGTAGGAATTGCAAACGCTTACAGCTTCTGAGCCGCTGACGCTTTCGGAGGAGTACGCTATGCAGTCCTCGTGGCGACGGGATGCAGATAAGTTGACTTTCATCATCTGCACTTCGCCACACACACCGCAAGCACTGTCGGATGTCTCTATACCTATTAGAGTCACTCGCAAGATAGACGACACGCCCAATCGTATGATTGGGGATGTGAACCTGTTTTTGTACCCGTCCGAGGACTGTAACGATGGCGCAGGGGAACAAGGCAAACACGAGACTGGGGAGATGGACGCGGTGGGCGAATTGGAGATAATGATTGCCCGGCCTGACGCACGAGGAAAAGGGCTAGCAAAAGAAGCCCTACAGGCGTTCATCTGGTACATATCTACCTCGCTGCCAGCCATCCTGGACGAGTACGCGAAGGGAGCCAACAACAGAGACAAGCCCAAATCTCTGAGCTACCTCCGTGTCAGAATCGACAAGGGCAACATCCCGAGCCTCAGTCTGTTCAAAACGTTGGGCTTCAGCCAAGTTAGCGAACCTAATTACTTTGGGGAAGTGGAGCTACGGTCAGAGATTGCAAGGCACGGGATAGACAAAGCTTGTTTGTTGGCAAAAAGCGTCTCGTACGAAGACTGATGAACAAACATGTCTGAGATGAATAAATCGAAAATAGGAGATTGCATGACACGACGCAAAGAAATGTCATTGTTGAAAGCACCTGGCAATGTACACGATATAAAACACACGCTTCCGCTACCGGGTCTCCTGAAGCGCGCAAATACAGACCCCCTCTCCGTCTATTGGTTCGTCTTGCCGGAAGTGTTTGGCTTGGGGACGTGGTCGAGAATGCTCTTGTTTGGCGGTGGCTGGTAGACGATCTTCCTCGTCTTCAGCGGGGCCCACTTGTACCTGTCGTGGCTGTTAGTCATGTGGGTAAAGTGGCGGAGCTGCAAATACTTGCCTCTTGACCCAGACACTGAGGGCGAACAGGACACTGGTGACGGCAAGAACCTTCCAGCCCATCTTCTTACGGTCGTCCATCTCGGGCTCGGCGGTCCAGTTGAGGAACTCGACGACGTCCTTGGCCATCTGCGAAGTCGAAGCCTTGGTGCCATCATCGTATTCAACCAAGTCGTCGTACAGCACACGGGCCATGGCGATTCCAGTGCCGGGGAAGTAGGGGTTGAAGTTGAGGCCTTCCTGGACAACGGCACCAGCAGGCGGCTCCTCGGGGTAGCCGGTCAGCAAGCTGAAGATGTAGTTGCAGCCGCCGTGGCGGGCCTTGACCATGAGGGACAGATCCGGAGGCAGGGCACCGTTGTTGGCAGCGCGGGCGGCCTCGTCGTTCTTGTAGGGAGCGGGCATGTAGTCGGACAGCTTTCCGGGGCGCTTCTCGATTTCGCCCTGGTCGTTGGGCTCTGTGTCGTATTCGTTCTCCTCGGCCAGGGCCTTGGCCTCGTCAACCGTCATGAACTTGCCGACGACGGCGCGGTAGGGCACACGCGAGATGGAGTGGCACGAGGCGCAGACCTCGCGGTAGACCTGGAAGCCGCGGCGGAGACTGTGACAGGTTAGGGGGCGGGCATGTGCGGTGCGGTGGGGAAGACGTACGCTCCGTGGTCGAAGGTCTTGTGCCACTTCTCGTGCTCCCACGGGTATTGGGTCGGGTGGAGGCTGTACAGGCACGACGTCAGTACATGGCCGCGGGCCGGGCTATCTGGGGCGCACTCACCCTTCTTCGGCGGGGGTCATGGCATCGACGTGGCGTCCGTAGAGGTGCCAGTACCAGGCAGTCGAGCCGACGGCGAAGAGAGTCGCTCCGGCGGGCAGGGCGTTGTTCTTCCAGGCCGAGGCGGCGCTGTCGGCGGAGGACCATGTCGAGGCGAAGCGCTGTATCACGCATTGGGTCAGCCAGATGATTCAATGGAAGCGGGGGCTGGCCCGAGTATGGCAGCCGGGCCAGCAGGGCGGCGACGCAGCTTGCGCCAGCTGCCGGGAGATGCTGGGCCATGCGGGAGGCGTACCGGTTTGCTCGAGGCATTGCGGGCGGCGGCGGCGGCGGAGCGTGCCGTACGCAGTGGTGAGCGAGCCAACATGGTCGTGGGAAGCTGGCTCGGGGCTGGGGGAGACGCGAGCAATGGGTTGTCGGCGATGGTGATGCGGCGGAGAACTGGTGCGAGACCATTTTCCAATTTCCAAGCTAACTAATCCACATCACGTGCGCTATCATTGGACGAGGCTGCCATGACGCCTCCGGACTGTATTTTGCTCTCGCACATCGCCTTGCATGCGAACGCGAGTGTACTCGAGAGGTGCAGGCTGCGACTGGCAGTGCGGCATCACATGGCATGGCAGGCAGTGCAGAGGGTCCCGCGTGGAAGAGACTTCGTCCGTGATACGCAGCAATGTAGCCCTACTTCTATACCCTTTCGCTCATGCAGGAATTGCAAAAGGGCTCAAACGAGGGCTGCTTCTCTCTAGCAAGACTGGCAGTGCCGGGGCAGTGCCAGAACACACGGCGTCCCCAGGAGCGGGAGACGTCGTCGAGCTTCTTGCGTGGTGCCAGAACGCAACGCGACGTCGGCCTGGCTTATATAGTGGACACGGCCCCGATGCGAGCTAGGCTGCATCTAGCCGCGAAGAGAGCGCTGGAGGACCTCGAGCTCTCGCGGCGCAGGGGACAGGTCGCGACACAGCACACGAGAAGCTAGATGCACCGCTTCACCTACCATGGACGTCTTCTGGCCGCTCCCAGCCGCCGACTGAAGCCACGGCGGACGCTACTGCACACGCTCACACCGAACGCGCGACTCTCTCTTCCCCCCACCAACAGCCCTCGCCCGGTCCCTCGTCCCCCACCACCCTCCCGTCACCCTGCCCTTGTCCCCGCAAGGCACTGTTCCCACCGACGAAATATGTGCAAGCACTTCGGCGCAGAGGGCCACGCGTCCATCGACATCACCAAGGGTCGCGAGGTGCTGCCCGCCAACGTCAAGCCCGTCCACTACGACCTGACACTCGAGCCCGACTTTGCCAACTTCACCTACCAGGGCACCGTCACCATCGAGTACGTGCCCGTCCGCCCGTATGAGAGGGCCCTGCTGACACTCGGCCAGTCTAGATGTCGTCGACGACACCACGTCCATTGCCCTCAACACCAACGAGCTCAAGATCCACTCGACCAAGGTCACGGCCGGCCAGCAAGTCATTACCGAGTCGCCCCATGTCGCCACCGACGACGATGCGCAGACGACCACGGTCAGCTTCGACCAGGCCATTCCGGGCGGTAGCCAGGCGAAGCTTACCATGGCCTTCGCCGGAGTGCTGAACGACAACATGGCCGGCTTCTACCGCTCCTCCTTCAAGGCTGCCGACGGCTCCACCACATACATGGCCACGACGCAGATGGAGCCCACAGATGCCAGGCGGGCGTTTCCTTGCTTCGACGAGCCCGCGCTCAAGGCCAAATTCACCGTCACCCTCATCGCCGATGAGAAGATGACCTGTCTCAGCAACATGGACGTAGCGTCGGAGAAACAGATCCAAAGCACCATCTCGGGCGGAAGGCGCAAGGCCGTCACCTTCAGCCCGACGCCTCTCATGTCGACCTACCTCCTATGCTTCATTGTCGGTGAGCTCAACTACATCGAGACGAACAACTTCCGCGTCCCTGTGCGAGTCTATGCGCCAAAGGATCGGGACATTGAGCACGGCCGCTTTTCGCTCGAGCTGGCGGCAAAGACGCTGGCATTCTACGAAAAAACCTTTGACAGTCCCTTCCCGCTGCCCAAAATGGACATGGTCGCGATTCCCGACTTCAGTGCAGGTGCCATGGAAAACTGGGGCCTCGTCACATATCGTGTCGTCGACGTGCTCATTGACGAAAAGGTCAGCGGGGCAGCTACCAAGCAGCGCGTCGCCGAGACGGTGCAGCACGAGCTTGCCCACCAGTGGTTTGGTAATCTCGTGACCATGGACTTCTGGGACGGCTTATGGCTTAATGAAGGATTTGCAACGTGGATGTCGTGGTATTCCTGCAACGTCTTCTACCCTGACTGGAAAGTCTGGGAAGGCTATGTTACAGACAATCTAGCCAGCGCACTCTCGCTCGACTCGCTAAGAAGCAGCCATCCCATCGAGGTACCGGTAAAGCGCGCAGACGAGATAAACCAGATCTTTGATGCCATCTCATACTCCAAGGGCTCGAGTGTCATCCGCATGATCTCCAAATATGTCGGAGAGGACACCTTCATGGAAGGAATCCGCCGGTATCTCAAAAAGCACGCCTATGGCAACACAGAGACTGGTGACCTCTGGGCTGCCTTAGCGGATGCCAGCGGCAAGGATGTTGGCAAGGTCATGGACATCTGGACCAAGAAGGTCGGCTTCCCAGTCGTTACCGTCACGGAAGGCACTGATTCCATCCACCTTAAGCAGAACCGCTTCCTCCGCACTGCCGATGTCAAGCCAGAGGAGGATCAAACCCTGTACCCCGTATTTCTTGCGCTGCGGACCAAGGAAGGAGTTGACGAAGACTTGACGCTTTTCGATCGTGAAGCCGACTTTAAGCTCAAGGAACTCGACTTCTTCAAGCTTAATGCGGACCACTCTGGCCTCTACCGGACCTCGTACACGCCAGAGCGCCTACGGAAGCTGGGCATCTCGGCCAAGGAGGGCCTCTTGACCGTTGAGGATCGAGCCGGCATGATTGCCGACGCAGGCTCGCTGGCGGCATCTGGCTACCAGAAAACGTCTGGTATACTCTCGCTCCTTGACAGCTTCAAACACGAAGCAGAGTTTGTCGTCTGGGGAGAGATCACGGGTCGTATTAGTTCCCTCCGGGGTGCATGGATGTTTGAGGACCAGAAGATCCGGGACGCTCTGAAGAAGTTCCAGTTGGAGCTCAGCGCAGAGAAGGCACATGAGCTGGGATGGACATTCAATGAAAAAGACGGTCACATCGAGCAGCAGTTCAAGGGTCTCATGTTTGGTGCTGCCGGTATCGCTGGCGACGAAGAGATTACCAAGGCATCCTTTGACATGTTCGACAAGTTCAAGGCAGGCGACAAGTCTGCCATTCACCCCAACATCCGCGGCAGCGTGTATGCCATTGTGCTAGCGAATGGTGGGCAAGAAGAGGTAAGCAATGCTACGAGGATGAATGGAACGCAGACTGACCAGACGCAGTACAATGTCATCGTCAACGAGACTCGGAATGCCGCCACAAGCGACGAGCGCAACTCGGCTCTTCGCGCACTAGGCCGTGCCAAGTCTCCAGAGCTCATCCAGCGCACGCTTGCCATGGCTCTCAGCGACGAAGTCAAGGGCCAAGACATCTACTTGCCCATTGCAGCATTGAGGTCACACGCGGAGGGCTGTCATGCGCTCTGGAAGTGGGTCAAGGATAACTGGGAGGAGCTGGAGAGAAGGCTCCCCCCTAGCCTGAGCATGCTGAGTTCGGTGGTTGCCATTACAACATCAGGCTTCACCCACCGGGAACACATAGAGGACATTGAGGCGTTCTTCAAGGGCAAGAGCACCAAGGGCTTTGACATGGCGCTGTCCCAGAGCATCGACGCCATCAGCGCCAAAGCCGCATGGCTTGAGAGGGATGCGGACGATGTCAAGACGTGGTT